CCAAGAATAAGTCACTGTGACTGGGTGAGGTCAGCCAGAAAGGCTCAGCAGGACCAGGAGTGTAAGGAAGCCAGGTCTCCCTGGTAGTGAGTAGAGGGTCAAGTTTCTCTGATCTGATACTGAGCCGCTTCTGGAGCTTTCTTTTTCAAGCTCATCTTCCCCATTTACACAGGGAAAGAGAAGAAGGCACCACCCCTCCTGGAGGGGGGCCCTTTTCGATTAAAGCCCCGAAGTATCCATGAGTTGTCTGTGGAGCAGCAACTGTACTACAAGGAGATCACTGAAGCCTGTGTGGGGTCATGTGAAGCCAAGAGAGCGGTGAGGCCCCACCACCCTGCCTTCACCGCAGACCCCTTCTCTTGGAGGCCTCAGATTCTCCCCGTGGTATCTGCCCCCACCTCACTCATTCCCCTCCTCCCACAGGAAGCCCTTCAGAGCATCGCAACAGACCCAGGGCTCTATCAGATGCTGCCACGATTCAGCACCTTCATCTCAGAGGGGGTGAGAGGATTCAGACCCCTCCTCTGCTCCCATGTGTTCAAGACCCTAGAATGAGGTTCCAGGGGGTGAGGAGTTGGTAGGGGAAGCTCATCTAAAGTGTCTCCCTGCCCTGTCACTTCTCCCTCCTGTAGGTCCGTGTGAACGTGGTGCAGAACAACCTGGCCCTGCTCATCTATTTGATGCGCATGGTGAAGGCACTGATGGACAACCCTACGCTGTATCTGGAAAAATACGTGAGTGGTCCTGCCTACCCACCTCCTATCCCAGGCTTTGGAGACCTCACCGCCACCAGCAGTAAGCCAGTAACCATAATTAGCTGCCTTATCACTTTTCTCTCAGGTGCATGAATTGATTCCAGCTGTGATGACCTGCATCGTGAGCAGACAGTTGTGTCTGAGGCCAGATGTGGACAATCACTGGGCACTCCGGGACTTTGCTGCCCGCCTGGTGGCCCAGATCTGCAAGCATTTCAGCACAACCACTAACAACATCCAGTCCCGGATCACCAAGACCTTCACCAAGGTGAGCCAGAATAAGGAACGTAAGCCCTTTCACATCTCTGCCTCAGGGTTGTCACCAGGACAATGAGAGCAGTGGTGGGTCAATTGTGGGTGGAAATTGAAAACAAGGGGCAGAGGGCAGAGGGATTGGGAATGGGACTTGAGCCGTATGCCATATATATCTGTAATGTCTTAACGATCTACAAGGAAAGTGTGTTTATGAGACTTGGGTCCTTACCAATTAGGCTTTCGGGCCCATTTACCTGGATTTATTTTCCATCCCCTTACAGAGCTGGGTGGATGAGAAGACTCCATGGACTACACGTTACGGCTCCATTGCAGGCCTGGCCGAGCTGGGACATGATGTCAGTGGGGAAGCACTTGGGAGGGAGGCATCATGAAGTCATAGTGGGCAATAGCCCACCACCTGGGAGACTCTGTGGTGACCCCAGGGCCCTGGCTTCTCTTCCTTTCCAACAGGTGATTAAAACTCTGATTCTGCCACGGCTGCAGCAGGAGGGGGAGCGGATCCGAAGTGTTCTGGATGGCCCTGTGCTAAGCAACATTGACCGAATTGGAGCTGACCACGTGCAGAGCCTCCTCCTGGTGACCAGAGCCCCCTGCCTCCCCCTGCTTCTTCCCACTAATCCTCCCTCCCCCGCTCACACATACACACACACACACACAGGTACAATGTTTAGCAAGAATGTGGTCTTATTATTCATTTATCCCATCTTTGCCTCATATATTCAGAGCAACCTCAGAGTCCAATAATATTAGCAGATGGAAAAGACTGAGGCACAAAGAAGTTAAATAAGAAATAAGACTGCACTACCCCTCATGCTTCTGCATCACTCTGGCCCATTCTGTGTACGCAAATGCCTATGGACCAAAACTACCTCTCAGATATACCAGGGAGATTTAGCATGTTCTCTGTTCACACCAATTGGTGCCTATGTTTTCTTATTAAGAAAAACCACAGCATTCCTTATACACACTGCTATGCCAGCAGTTTGGCCTTCAACAAGAACATACTGAAATGGTAATAGCCTTTTTCATGCCTTCACCCGCTTCTGAGAATCCCAACCCTCTTCC